CCCCCTCACTCCTCTTCTAACTAATCATTGAAAAAGTCACAGGAGAACAGTTCTGACCAGGAGCTTTGAGATTTAGCCAAACAGGCATCAAGCAGGTCCAGAATGGTAGCCAATAAAGTAAAGGACAGAAAATATGAGGACTTTTGTGAGGGCTTATGTCACTATTGCTGCCTCTGCTGCTGTCAATGCTGACAAAGCCCTGCATACGTTTTGGGATCTGTGTGGAGCAATGAAGAACCGACAGAAAAGTAAGTCAATACCAGACTTTCAACGAGAGGACAACATCTGGGTCAGAAGCGATGAGCAGAAGGGAAAAAGCCTTGTTCAGTCGTTATCTGGAACAAACGACCCCCCCAAAAAACAAAACAAAAAACAACAACAACAAAAACAACAACAAACAAAAAACAAACAAAAAACAACAACAACAAAAACAACAACAAACAAAAAAAAACAAAAAACAACAACAAACAAACAAACAAACAAACAAAAACAACAAGAAAATGAAGTTGAAAGACGAAACATGTTGAAGAACCTCCAAATGCACTTCACAAGTCAAACCTCCCAAGTTGTGCTGACACATGAAACCATTACGCGCACCATCATGAGCGGAAAAGACACGGCACCAGGACCTGAAGGCTTGCGAAACTCTCGTATAAAGCAACTGAGTGACGCAGATGTGGAAGTTTCAACACAGGCCTTTAACAACAGTCTTCAAAATGGACAGATTCCGACTGACTGGCTGGACAGCCATCTGGTACCAGTACCTGAGCCTGAGAAAGACCCAAGCAAGATTGCATCCTACTGGAATCATTACCATGCAGAACACAATAGGGAAACCACCCGAAATGATTGTGGCCTAAAAGCTGCCCAGGAGGAGAAGAATCTGCTACCCCCTACTTTAGGCAGCTATCGTAAAAGTAAAGACACTTGGATGAACGCTGCAGTCTTGGCATCAGATGTGTATAATGGTTTTGAGCAGGGAAAGATAGACAGGTGATGACCAGCAGTATACAGAAAGAGCTTGGTAGGATTGAAGCATGGTGTGAAGCAGTTAATGGCAAAATCCATCCCGGAAAAGCGACAGTACTTTGGTGCTCCCTCAACAATCGAGCAGTGAAAGCCCAGATGCCAGATGTCTACATCAAAGGCCAGACAATCAAAAGAGAAGAAACACTGCGCTACCTCGGAATAGTGTTTGACAGGACTTTGAGTGGAAAGGAGCACATATCGAAAATCATCACAAAGGCCAGAAAAGGGCTGAATGCAATGAAGGTGATGGCGAGAGACAAGATGCCCCTGAGAAATTGGGTCTTGCTTTTTGACATGCTTGTCTTGCCTCAGGTAGATTATGGTTTTGGTCTGTAGTCACTGTGCAAGACGCAACTTAGAAGGTTGGACGTGATCCAGAACCAAGGAAAGAGAGCCATACTTGGTTGCACAAAAGATACATCAGCTGCTGCTATGCGATATGTGCTAGGCTTAACCGGCATGAACGAAAGACACAGGCTCGCACAGGTCAAAGCTTATCTGAAATTCCGCGCAGATCCACAGCATCCTCTCCATGGAAAAGTAGGTCGTCAGACTAACCCAAGACTCAAACAGGGCATGGAGTGGATGAATCAGGCAGTGCAAACCATTGAAGAGTGTGGTCTCACCGTAGGAGCAATCAGACGAGTGGAGACTTTGGTACAGCTTTCGGACGAGGTGAAAGACAGAATAACTCAGGTGATTGTAACATTGGGGCGTGAATGTCGTGAATGGCCTGAAGAAGCAACACAAGCTGAGATCCAGACGCTAATTGAAGAGAACTGCAGAGAGGAGGAAACCATTATCTTCACTGATGGCTCTGTTCAGTGTGGGATCAAATCAGGCTGGGCTTACACGGCTTCTTGCCAAGGAGTAACAATCCAGGAGGCATCTGGGGCAACGGGCCTCACTACATCAAGCATGTGCATGGAGATCAAGGCCAACACCGAGCTTTGCACAAATGGATACCAGCAGGCTACCTTTGTTACAGACTCATGAGTTCTCTGGATAAGATCCTGACCGGCAGCCTCTATGCAGATTGGTTTAAGACAATCCAAGCCTGCAAAATCAGATGCTTGCAGTGGATCTTCTGCCCAGGACACGCAGGAGTCAACACACACATGCACATGCTCATGCACATACATAACATAATAAACATTATGTAGTCGGTATGTGCAATCTGAGGTCAATAATGACCCTCCCCTTCCTCCCCCCCCCACCATCTCCTCCCCTTCCTTCCATCCCTTCCTTCCTTGTGGGTGGATGACGGATGCTCTGGTGTGGTTTGCTCCTTCTTTCCTATCAAACATCTATCATCCGTATCTCCCCTTCTTCTTCTTTTATTTTTGTTACTCTCTTGTAAACCTCTAATCTTCGGCACTTACATGACCTTATTGTGTTGCAAGAGCCGTAAAACCCCTACTAAAACTTTTAAACTTCCATCCGCCCCCTCCTCCCCTTCCTTCCTTCCCCACCCCAGGCGCCCCTGTGCTTTCGATGACACCGACCACTGTCGGAGTGGGCGACAGCGTGACCTTCACCTGTCAGTTTGACGCAGGCAGCCGGCCAACGGGCCTATCCTACGCCTTTTACAGGTCAGTTGGTGGGGTCTTTGGTTTGTTTTTCGCTTTTGTTTGTTTTTGGGTTTTTTTAATGTCTGTGTATAATATACTTAATTAGTGTATGGCGTTGAAAACTTCGTCCTCATGTGGTTGAACTGGTCTTTTTGTTTACATTATTTTAAAAAAATTTTTTTTTTTGGGTATGTACATGAGTTTTACTCTCACCGATTAAGTCATCGACGCTCAAAGTTCAGAGCGCCTCCTTCCCACTTGGGAATCGAACTCGCGTCCTCTATGTGCAGTGTGACAGTGGTAGATACTTGAGGAATTCACTGAGGAAATTTTATGTCGCTGTTTGGAGTGCGTCGCCGTTACTACATTCACTTCTCTCCATTCCCGTGGTTGTTTCTGTCTGCCTGTCTATCTGTTTTACCTTTTCAGTACACAAAATGACCGTTATCAAATCGATGTCCAACAAACAAACAAACAAACAAACAAACAAACAAACAAACGAAACTGAAAACTAAAAAAATTTATAAAAACCCAACACCCCCTAAAAAAACAACAACAAGCAAACCTGTACCCCCCCTCCAATAACAATGAGAATAAGAGCAAGAACAAGAGCAAGAACAACAACATCAACAACAACAACTCACAAACAACAAACAACAATAACAACAACAACTCACAAACAACAAACAACAAACAACAACAACAACAACAACAACTCAGAAGCAACAAACAACAACAACAACAATAACAACTTACAAACAATAGCAACAACAACATCAACAACAACAACAATGACAACAACAACAACAACAACAACAGCAATAACAACAACAACAACTCAGATTAAAAACGTATGTTTCATGTTTTCTCTCCCCCCCCCCACTCCGACCCCA